CGTATTAAATCATTGTATACAAATTGTATACAATGATTTAATACGTAATATCACAATTTTCCCAGGATTAAACTCGCCTTATCTGTTATTGATACCTCAAATATTTGCTTACGGATTTTGCCTTGGCAGCACTCATATAATGATAATGTTTACATTTTAGTACATATTATTTCCTAAAAACTAAAGCTTAGGCTATTTTGCCTACGACCCATACACCTTGCTAAATGCCAAAGACTTCATTTAATCTATGATAGTATTTACAAAGTTAGGTGGTTGTTGATATCTGGATGTGGGTTAGCTATATCTTTCTTTGTGCTGGGTGCATTTGTGTTTGGTTTTACATCTGGAATCCAGATTTTGTATAATTTTTGCGAAACAGATTACTTTGTTTGCGACTTAGTCGCCCATGATGAATAGATACACGTGAAATAACCGGTTCACGCGAGGTGAATCATAATAATAAGTTCTATTTTTCGTGATTTTGTGTAGTAGTTTGGTTTGTTTTTCTTGTTTGTGTTATTATGAGATACCATACCAAAAGGGTGTAGTGTGTCGACTTTCTTATTTTTTGGGCGGGAGCTGAGGCAATTTGTTGGAGGTCAGTAACTTATAGTATTAAAAACGTTACTTTTTTTTACTTTGTTAATAAAGCAACGACGTATCTGTGCATTATCTGCATAATTATTAGTAATATCAAAGCAGATCAATTTTTATTGTCGTTATTATTGTTATACGTATTTTATGTTTACTGTAGGTGAAAGAAAATTGGAAATTAAGGAATTTCAATATGATACTAAATAAAGTATCTTATACATATATATATCTACAATTGTCTATTTCTGTATTTCCGCGTACATATATTATTAGTAAGCATCCACAAAAAATCTTTGTGAAACATCAGATTTTAATAAATTCGCGAAATTTTCGTTCGTCGATGGATAAACGTATAAAGCGATTATAAGCAATATTCGATAACTTAGAGAAACAAAATGCATTCCAGGGTTGTAATTATAGGTTCTGGTCCTGCTGGACATACGGCCGCACTTTACTTGTCCCGAGCAACCTTAAAACCTGTTATGTTTGAGGGATTCCTTGCGAATGGTTTTGCTGCCGGTGGTCAAGTATGAATTAATGATATTTTTATGTTTATAGAATATATTTTATTTTAAAATATAATTCTATTATTTCATAATGATTTTTCTTTCAAAAAATACCTCTGACACGTTTTTGTATCTCTTTACATTATACAGCTAACTACAACCACTGATGTTGAAAATTATCCCGGTTTTCCTGAAGGCATAATGGGCACGGTGATGATGGATAAATTTCGGGAGCAAAGCATTAAATTTGGCACAACAATTTACACTGAAACAATATCAAAAATTGATATTTCTACACGTCCGTTTAAACTTTGGCGTGAAAGTAAAGAAGATCAAGAACCTGATACCGCTGATGCACTTATTATTGCCACTGGTGCTGCTGCAAAAAGACTGAATCTTCCTGGTGAAGACAAGTATTGGCAGAAAGGAATATCGGCGTGTGCTGTTTGTGATGGTAACTAAAATTGTACTTTGATCTCTGTTTCATATTATACTTATTTAATTTTACACTATCTTAAAGGTGCTGTACCTATTTTCCGTAACAAACCTCTCGCTGTAGTTGGTGGCGGTGATTCTGCTGCTGAAGAATCTCTGTTTCTTACAAAATATGCGTCTCATGTTTACGTATTGGTTCGTCGAGATAAACTTCGTGCTTCAAAAGTTATGGCAAATCGATTGCTCACCAATCCAAAAGTTACTGTATTATGGAATACCGAAGTTATTGAATGTAAAGGCAATGGAGAATTACTTAATAGTTTGGTGATCAAGAATAACCAAACTAAAGAAATAAAGGAATTATCTGTAAATGGTTTATTCTTTGCTATTGGCCATGCGCCAGCTACCGATTTAGTTAAAGGAAAATTGGATTTAGATGAGGATGGTTACATTCTTACTAAACCAGATAGTACTTGTACAAATATAGAAGGCGTTTTTGCTGCAGGTGATGTTAAAGACAAAAAATATAGGCAAGCTATTACAAGTGCTGGATCTGGATGTATGGCTGCATTAGAATGCGAACGTTGGTTGAGCGAACATTTTGCTGAATAATAGAAGATTCACTTCACTAATTTTTTCGAATGTTCCTATAACTAAAATTTTGGTATTAATTTATAGAATATTAAAATGTCATACCGATAAATTATAATCTTTTGAGTAAACTATTAAAGGTTTCTAATTTAAAGTTTTTTGAGATAATCAAATATGGCAATCTGGTGTATTACACAAATTAAAATAATTATTTTTTTATGAACAACTATATAAAGCCTCATGATTTTTTTTTTGCTAAAACACTAAAAGTGGTTAGATAATTTTATAGTGACTTTACAAAGCTAATTTTTTTGGTTTTATAATATTAAACTTTAGAAGAGATTCAACTGCTTGACTCGGCTGCCCAATTTTTTTAAGTTAAAATAAAATTTTAATTTTATATTATAAATTGAAAAATACCAAAACTGTGATTTTTGATTAATAGCTTATATATAAAACATAGTTTTTTTTTTCTATGATTACTCAGTTTGTTGTAGCAAAAATAGTAATTATAATTACTATATGTGTGATAATAAAATTATACGTATTGTATATAATATAGAAACTACTCTAAGTATTATTGTTGTTAAAATTGTAATATAGTAACTTTGAATAGCTAACTATTTGATTTAATATATAGTATAAGGTATATAAATAAATAAAACAATAATAGATAATATTAATTTATTTATTTTTTGTATGCAACTCTTTTCAATAATCACTTCTGAATATATATTTTTTTAAAAAAACATTACTACTTATAAACAGCTAAAATAAGTTTTAAAACCATAAGTTGGCAGCTGTTATTTAGAGATAGTTCTTATATACTACCTACTAATAGCTTTAGAATTTATTACTCATTGCAGGAGTAGCACTTGTCATTTAGTAGTTTTTATATGCTACTTGCCAACAAGTTCAGAGTTTATTACTTATCAAAAAACAAAATAAAGCACTTCTGGGTTATTAGGAAGCATCTATAAATAACATTATATACCTTTACATAGTAGCTCTTGACCCCCCTCCCCTAGACTACTGTATATAAAATTTTTTTTTTTTTTTTTTTTTTTAAGGTGATCTCTTTAGTCGGCATTTTTTATTATAGTTAAGTTAAAGTTAATATTACAGCACATCTATAAACCATATTTATTTTTTAATTATATATATTTCAACTAGCCTTAGGACTTACTAACTATTTCTAGCTAATTTATTCTCGAGGTAAACCTAACAACACATTATATGTTCCACACATAATAGTACATGCTTGTTTGGTAACTTCTTCCTAATTAGTACCTGTTGTTTGCCATAATTGTGTTCATATCTCAAGCCATCTTTTGGGGTGCTGCCATAATACAATTTGTATCTCAAGCACAACCTTTCTAATTAGTCATCTATTATGTACTCCTGCTCTTATATAGTTCACAACAATTCCAGTACCCACATTTCAACTGACTTCTACCCAGATTCTTGATCGGTCTATCCCTTACTTCCAACTATCAACCCAGGAGGTTCGACCTGGGCCCAGCTCTAAGTGCTTTTAGCCCTGTTTTATCTTAGTTCATACTTTCGTAGTATACGTCCTTTTTCTCCAACTTAGAAGTTTTCAGTTCTCTGGTATACCCAGTCTATTTTTTCGGCTTGTGCCTTTAGCCCGTATCTTATAGCCTGTGCCTTGTGGCCCATGTCTTCTAATCCACAGGTTTGCTAGAAGTAAGGCCCCCCCTGCTACTGGTTTTCCAGGCCAGTAACTCAGTTGGTATGCATCGTGTACTTCTGTCAATTTCTAGTATTTCCAAATTGGTGGTCTGATTAGTATGTCCCCCCACTTAAGAACTTAATCACTTGGTTCATCGATCTTAGGCCCCAGTTTGAATTCAGCCTTCTTGTAGTACTGTCGAAAATTACTGTTACTTCAAATTTAGGACTTTCTAAATGGGTTTTCGGTTATGCTAATTCCTTGGATTTATTGCGCCAAAGCTCCCATTTCTAGATGGTATGACCAAAGTTACAAATTTTAGTTTTAAATCTAATTAATAAGCATAGCCGTCAACCAAAACACAGATCTATTTTTCAAATATCATCATCTATGGAATTCGAACTCTAGACCTACTACTTGGAGAGGATAACAACTAGATCACTACACTAAGTCGCCACACCTTTTATAAAATTTTTTTTCAAATTCATATATTTATACAATATATAAAATTTTACAAAAATGTATCTATTTTATGATACAGTGATTCAATATAGATAATTTTGATACTAATCAATTCATCTTAATAAGACAAATTCAATAGTATTGAATTTATTTAATTTAGATCACTAGATCAAAAGATATCAGCAAAAAAACTATTGATTTTATAGTAATTTCATATAAAAAGTTATAACCAATAGCCTTTGTGTTTATTTTATAATTCAATAATTAAAATTAAATAATTATAATATTATTGAATTCACCTCACTAAGATGGATCGAATAGTACCAAAATTATCTAATTTGGACTACTGGATTAAATTTTATATAAAAAAATTATGTTATTTTTTTTGACTTCTTACTCTATTAGAAAAAATATTATTTTTGTGCAACTCCCACCTCCCCTCTTATATAATGTTATTTATGAATACTTCTTAGTTGTATTTTTTTTGAAAGAATATATATACTTTCCTTTGGTTTCTTTCTTGATCTCTTTTGCCTTTCTGTTATTCTTTCAAAATTTTTAACAAAAAGTGAGAATTTGATTTACTTTTTTAAAAGATTGGCATTGTTTATTTTTCAAATTCAGACAAACTTAGTAGATTGCAACTATGTAGCTTGTTTATTTGCAGATACAGTGCTACTCTATATAACTTGAATTTGTATATTTGATTAAAAAGATATTTGAAGCTAGTTGATAGTCAAAAAATATTTATATTAAGATATAGTTTTATACTGTAGTTAAGATATACAAACATTATATTTGTTATATAATTTTTTTTAAACTTGATATAAGTTATAAAAGTATACTTTTTTTTTCATTTTAACCTTTGAGTTAATTATTATTATTATTATTATTTAGTATTAAGGTGACCTTATTGGCCTAAGAAACTTTTTATTAAAGTATAAACAGAGTTATATAATACAATTACAATAATGGTATATCAAGCCACATATGCACTTTTGGTGTCTAATTTAAGTAGTTTGTCCAAAGTATTGTGATAAAATTTACTAAAAACTATCAAGCTTTAGCAAACTTTAAAGTTACAAGTGTCAAGTGAACTATCTTTTATTTAAAGAGAATAATAAGAAAGAAAGAAAATAAACAATTTGTATAATGAAATTTAAATTCAATAGCCTTTAAAGTACTATAAAAAGTTATCAATAGGTGGTGAAATTTGAGAGATTAAACCTATTAGTCAGTTTGTATAGGTCAGGCTTAGTAATTACTTGCCTTTTACAAGAATATGTTAGCCACTAAAACTTAAGATATAACTAAAGAAAGAAGTACTAACAATCAGACCATCAATAGCTATGTGTGGCCTTTAAATTCCGAATAATATAAGCTAATATTTTGCCAAAATACTATTTTCGAAACTAGCTTTCACTTTATATTATTTCAAGAAAGAGAAAGAATTTATTAAGAGAAAAGATAAAAACATAAAACAAACAAGAAAAAGAAATAGTTTTAATAATAATATTAAGATAAGAATAGATAAGAATAATTTTATTAAAGGAAATTAAAGTAGCAAGAGAACTGCCTTTTAGAAGAGCAAAAAGCTATTCTTTTTATAGCTTTTTAGCTTAATATTTTATTGGTTTTAAAGCTACCATGTGTTGTAGCAATATTTTGGACTATCCAAAACATATGTAAGGCCTTGGCAACTTGGAAATTCCAAGTAGAATTATCTGCAACACCAATAAAGCCTGCTAAGCAATGCCAAGTAAAATGCTGAGCTAAATTATTTTTAGCAAAACTCGGCACTGCATTACTCAATAACTTACATATTAACTAAAAATAAAACACATATCATTGTGTAGCTCATGTGATGATCTACAAGGCTAATTATAGCATTTGGACGTTTAGAAGCCTCCTTGAATGTGTTGTCCTATGACTAACTAAAAATAACTATAATAAAATATAAGAAAAACTTAGAAAAAATATCAAATACTCAAAATAATAATAATAAAGAATAATAAGAAACTAGTATAAACTAATAAAATACAATAATAATAACTATAAAAAAGAAAGAAAAAGAAAATTCTATTATAGTATCAAAAGCTACAAAAAATGGCGATTCATAATCCTCTATATTTTTAAAATTATCTAATTCTAATCTATTTTCTTCAAGATTATCCAACTCAAAATTATTTTCTGCTAAGTTAAAAACTGGCATTGAATAATTTATCGAAGTAGAAGATAAAGAATTAAAATTATTATTTGGTATTTCTGGTCTACAAGATTGCATACTATTATTATATATATTTAAATTTTGTGTATTATCTAATGAAGATATATTTTTAAAGCTTTTTCTTGTCATCTATGTCTTGATCGAGTAGAGATGCTTACATATCTTCCAACATTATTAGATACACTTCGACAAAATGTACAAACACATAATACTTGTTTTCCCATTACTATATTGAATTATTGTAAAAACAGGTATTTAATATACAATTAATAAAATAGTATTTATATAAGAATATAGATCACAAAACCATCACTTAATTACTAACTATAAATACTATTAATTATTGTTTTTTAAAAAAACTGTCTTTTCTCTTTACTCAAATAATAATTATTTATCTATTTCCAAAGAATACAAATAATATTTGTTTTTTTCACAAAAACTGCTAAGTTTAATAATGAGTAATATAAATAATCACTTCAACAATAAAAGTAATAACAATAATATAAATACTGAAGCAAACCAAAATATTGCATTGTTTCTTCAATTATTATCGAATCCATCTGCTTTACAACAAGCACTTTCAGCTATTACACCAAATTCTCAATCTATTGCAGCACCAACCTCTTCTGAGTTTACACAAACTCTTCCAGCATTATCAAATGCAATTATAGGAGTTGTTAATACATCGGTAAAATCTTATTGTTTATTTTTAAAATTTTAAATAAATTTTTACAAAGTTTAATTATTTTAGTTTCCACGCGGTTTTGCGCAAAATCCTATAACAAAGGAAGAGTGGAAACAATGGAAAAAAGCTAAAAAACCAGAAGAAGATTGGAAAGACTTTTACATTTGCCTCACGATACTTATTGGATATATCAGGCAAGTCTTAATATTATATATTCATTTTTTTAAGATAACTAATAATTATATAATAATAATATATTTATTATATTTATATACAGAGAAACTTGCGTGACATATTAGCAGCTAGTTGCCAAAAAGGCAAATATGCAAAGGAACAAACACCAGGAAAAATTCAGAAAATTATAAATGATGCACGTGCATGCATATTTACAATAATTTTTTTTTTGTTTCATCCTATTATTAAAAAACTAACAATTATATATTTTAGTTTAAATGTGATTTTTCAACTTTCCTATTTCTGTTGGAGATTTCATTTTGCAAAAAATATCCGAAAATATTATTAGTAATTGGGGTAAAGTATTATATTTCTATTTTTATATAATATGTAATATTTATTAATATTAAAATAACTTTGTAGTGGAAATTGAGCGTAAAAATAAAATAAAAAATGCACATGCCCAAAATATTGCACCACCTCCTAAGCGCAAAAATATCATCCCTCCCACCTCAAGATTTAAGAAAACTACAGTTCAATTATCGGAAACAAATTCTGATATAGCCGAAGTTGATGATGAGATTGATAACTCATTAATTACATCTAATGGAAACAGGGTTGGGTTATGACCAGGTCATAATAGGTCATATCAATAAGTTCAATTAGTAAGGTCATATGACCAGGTTATATGACCTCATTAATTAAACTTATTGATATGACCTGATATGACCTGGTCATAACCCAACCCTGAATGGAAATAATTCTCCAAGTCACTATAGTAATAATACTAATATTTCTAAATTACCTATTATTACTCCTCTTATTATAAAATCCACAAAATCTTCAAGAATTCTAGTCCGATCAACAGCAACAAGTTCTAATTCAATTAATATTAGAAGTTTCGAACTTAATAGTAATGGTGATAATATATCTGAACCATCTAACACTACACCTTATACAACAAGATCTTTAAGATCTTCAAAAGTTCCAATCCAAAAATTATTGCCAACACGTTCTAAGGCAATTGAAGTTGATGATAGTTTCGATTATAATGATGTATCTAAATTATCTAATATTACTTCTTATACAATTAAGTTATCAACACCATCAAGTATTCTATCTCAGTTATCAACAAGTTCTAATGTGATTGAAGCTGGTAATTCTGATGTTAACGATGATAATGATATATCTGAATTTTTTACAGTATCTTCTTTAGCAAAGAGATCTTCAAGGTCTTCTAATCCAGCCCGGTTATCAACAAGTTCCAAAGCAATTGGGGCCGATAATCTTACAGTTAACAATAATAATGATATATCTGAATTCCCTATTACTACTTCTCGTATAATGAGATCTTCAAGATCTTCAAAAATTTCAACCCGGCCATCAGCAAGTTCCAATAGAGTTGAAATCGATGACAATCAATCGTTTGGTCCACCACCATTGTCTCCAGTAGATCAAAATGGAAATAATATTAGTACGTATATATTTATATAAGGAAATTAAAATATTATGAAAGCAATAACAATTAAATGAATTAATTCTTTCATTATTATAAAATATTCAATATTCATCGTATTATTTATTTTCCTATATCTTAATATTCAATTTATAATAATACTTCTAGGAAAAAAAAGAACTAGCGTAAATCCTGAAAAATCTTCCAAGAAATGGATCAAAGCAAAGAATACTAAATAGGTTTACAAATGAGTAAAATGCTAATTGTCTTGCAAATTGCTTTATCATTATTTATTATTATGTAATATGCACAATTTCAGTATTTATTCTGAATAGTATAAATAATACATATAAATAACCTGACAATTCAATACAGTACATTCCAATTATCTTCCTAATATGTAAACTATTCCAATTATCTTCCTAATATGTAAAATATTCCAATTATCTTCCTAATATATAATTCTATTATTGATCATAACCCGATTACTTGTAAAATATCTTCCTGCTTCATTCCAATTATTGATCCTACTTTATATGTAAATGATCATGAAATGACCCGGTTGTTTGCAAGACTTATACATAACATAGTAGGAAATTATCTAAAATGTTTTTGGATAATTATCATTAGTAATCATTCTGGAAAATGCTCATTTTCTGGAATACAGCATGATTATTATCTGGCGATTTTTTTAAAAAACCTGAAATTATTTTAAATATAACTTGAAAAAAAATCGGCAAATTCTCTGAAAATTTCTGGGACTTGGAATTCGGAATATTTCTGAAACATTTTATTTAAATATTTTTTATAGGGATATGTGCACACTCTATAAATGCACATCATATGCACTTTTCCTATAATGATAAGTGCACATAATTTGACCAGTCTAATATAAATTTTTATAAATGTATTATTACCCAATAACATGCATTTGTAGAAAGAAAATCTAAGCTTATTTCGAAATAATGCACTAGGCATATTTAAAATAAAGCACAGATCAATTACTGTAATTAGCGAGCAGATGGGCGTTATTCGCGCTTATACAGCATGGGAAAGTGCATGTGGAGTGCGCTTATAAAGAATGTACGTATGTACGTACGTACGTACCAGGAACGGAGTGATGTATATCACATAGTGTATGGTTATACGGCAAATCGAAATTATGTTTCACAAAATCTTAGGCCTGATTGGTCCGCGTGACTCTAAACATCATCTGTTGTTTATTTTCACGTGTCAAGCATCACATTGTATGCTGCCAAAAGATGATCTTATTTTTTTTATGTACGTACGTACATACATACATACTAAAACTTTATGTGCGTGTATGCACGATTGGAAGTTAAGTCGATGGAAACATATTAATTAAAATATTCTATATATTCTAATTATATTCATTATAATATGAGGCTTCGAATGAAAATTTAGATATATGTTGAGTATTTTTAGCTGCCATGTGCATCTATTAACCAATGATTTTGTGTGCAATATAACTAGGAAAACGTATGAATGCGCATATTTTTGCTACACTAAATGTAGCTGCCCGATACGAAAGTATCGGAGCAGCCTTTTGTCTCGAATTGGTCATGGGTTGATCATCTGATGCATTGTTTGATCTTTCATATGATGTTGTTATGAGTTATTGCCGTAATTACTGCCTGATGCATTGTGTGATCCGAAGAATGATGTCTTTTTTTTGAGATTAGTAATTATTGTTAGTATTTAAGGGAAACAGGTTGTTTTCCAAGAAAGGTAATTTCTGTTTTTTTTGCTAACCCAACTTTGTCTGGTTTTTCATGCTATATTTCTATTTTGTACATTGTTTATATTTTCTACATCGTTGACATTTTTTCTTCCCTTTTTTTTTACTTGGCCGAGTTATTGTACGGAGTAACTGGCTTTTTTAGGCTAGAACAATTTATCTGAGGAATAAACGTTAAGTAGATTGTTAGTTTAGCATTCTCTATTATGACAACAACTAATAAAGAATTAGACTTCGTTGTTTCAAATAACTCATCGACTCAGCTTGACACGACTCAAGCAGGTTTGGAATCGAGCCTGGAGCGATTATTATTGGAGGCGTTAAGGCTCATCTGTAAGGGAATGGGTGTGACAGATTTGGGTATAAAAAAGGAAGTTGTAGCAAGGCTAGTTAAAGAATGTAAAGCCCAGTTGGATCTGGAGGTACTTGTTGGTAGTTCTGAATCAGCTGGGAAAGAGAAAGTGATGGAAACCTGGGGTAAAAGTTTTGTGGAGAAGCCTGACACCTTTCAGTGGATGGGTGATGAGCTGCAACAGTTAGAGACAGGGAGGAAAAGCCCTCTGTATTCTCATAGGAAGCAAGCCGTGTTTGGTGCAGATTTAGCATGTAACAAACTATGAGCTCCAGCTTGGGGGGCTGATGTAGGTGCGTTGTCATTGGATGGGTTGGTTCGTGGAGATATGTGGGAGAAACATGAGTTGTCGAAGCAACAGAACCAATGGGAGTATAACGAATGGTGTAGAGCGGGGGCATTATTGGACAAGGCCTTGGTAACCGGGGATATAGGTTATGTTCGTTTGGCACAGCAGATTGTTATAAAGAGGACCTATATAGTGAGAGTAGCTGACGAAGATGGTTGGGAGGTGGCATCTAGAATGGCAACGGCGGACATTTTGGACCCAATGTCTGAAATTTTTGGTAATAGGCGAGAGAAAGCTAGATTAGCTGTGTAACATTTCCCAAGGGCTGAGAAGCCACAAGCATCATATAACTCTCATTCTGGGTACCCCCAGGTTCAGGCTCCGGGTTTTCAATTGGGTAGTGCCCCTGTGGCGCAGTTTACACAGGTGCAACCCTATGTTCAGCAGTCAGGGTTTCAATAGGCAATGGGTTCACAAGGTCAGTTCAGGGGCTTTGCGGCCCCTGCTCAAGCTATGCAGATGGCACTGCTATTTTTACAAAGCGGGCAGCACTAGCAGTTTGTTAATCCAAATGTGGGTTGGTCATCTTTTTGGTCTAAAAAGGGCGATAAAGACAAGGGCCCCAAGGGTAAGGAGGTAGTTTGCTATTTGTGTGAAGGAAGAAGTTATTTTACCAATGAGTGTAGCTCAAGAAGGTAGTTGATTATACTTGGGAAGGCACACTCCCTACTTAGCGATACTCAGCAAAACCCATAGTTGTTTTTCTTTGCTTTCTTTTTTGTTTGTTCTTTGTTTTTTTCTCTTGTAACACTCGTCGATGAGAGACAAATATAGCTGCCCGATACAAAAGTATCAGAGCAGCCTTTTGTCTCAAATCGGTCACGAATTGATCATCTAATGCATTGTTTGATCTTTCGTATGATGTCATTATAAGTTATTGCTGTAATTATTGCCTAATGCATTGTGTGATCTGAAGAATGAAGTCTTTTTTTTTGAGATTAGTAATCATTGTTAGTATTTAAAAGAAACAGGTTGTTTTCCAGAAAAGGTAATTTCTGTTTTTTCTGCTAACTCGACTTTGTCTAGTTTTTTGTCCCACCCTACCCGGCCCTAGTACTATTTATTGAAGCTTGGTCTATCAGGATGATAACCGTTGCTTAGTTTTAGAGCTTTTTGCTGAAGGTGGCCTGTCTGAACGATAGTCACTTTTTAAGTTTTTTAGGTGGCCTGTCAGGACGACAGTTATATTTTTTAGGATATGTTTTAGTAGAAAGTGGCCTGTTAGGACAACAGTCACTTTTTAAGTTTTGAATTTGGGGTAGGAAGTGGCCTGTCGGGACGACAGTCACAAGGTTTCCCTTTGGTTGTAGCAGGGTTTTTTCCAGAAAAATTCTGGTTTTTTTTGCCCTGCTCGCCAAAGTTGCCCCATAGTAGTATACATAGTAAATAGTCCTTCTTCGATACTCTCAAATTCTGTACTGTTAGTAGCTATAGCATGAAAGCGGAAGGGACAGATAACCCATAGTTGTTTTTCTTTCTTTGTTTTTTGTTTGTTTTTTGTTTTTTTCTCTTGTAACACCCGTCAATGAGAGACAAAATTACAAATTTGAACATGTATGCGGACAGATATAAATTTTTAAAATTATGTTTTTGATGCAATAGCTTAAATGACAATAAAAGATGAATCAAAAATGCAGCTATTGATGCATCAAAAACGTAACTTCTGTATCACTATGCATAAACCTTAAAAGTCCTCCACTATGCTCCGGACTATTAAATAATAAAAGGAAAAATGATCTTATTGCAGATGTCTTTTTTTTTTTTTTTTTTTTTTTTTTTTTTATTTATTTATTTATTTATTTATTTTTATTTTTATTATTATTATTATTATTATTATAATGTCATAGTAGAAATTTTATTACAGTCAGTTCGAAGATTGAAAGTTATCTTATAGTCTGCAAATCCAGATAAGGGGACAGATAAGCTATTTATTTATAGCCTGGCTGCCAAAACCCTTCAACTTGAACTAGCAGATTTTAAGAAGGTTGATTAGAAAAGGAATTTCTATAATTAAAGATTTCTAACTACACTTGCACTACAGAGCACCCAATGTGACATTACACCTCCTATTTCCTATTTTAGTGCTATTATTAGTTTAAATGAATAAAATA